CTCGTGGCCCCCTCTCACGATCGCTGCCTGCGTGGGCTGGGCGTGGCTGGAGCCAGCAGACCAGAACAAGATGGCTGCCTGCGTGGGCTGGGCGTGGCTGGAGTCAGCAGACCAGAACAAGATGGCTGCCTGCGTGGGCTGGGCGTGGCTGGAGCCAGCGGCCCAGAACAAGATGGCTGCCTGCGTGGGCTGGGCGTGGCTGGAGCCAGCGGCCCAGAACAAGATGGCTGCCTGCGTGGGCTGGGCGTGGCTGGAGCCAGCGGCCCAGAACAAGATGGCTGCCTGCGTGGGCTGGGCGTGGCTGGAGCCAGCGGCCCAGAACAAGATGGCTGCCTGCGTGGGCTGGGCGTGGCTGGAGCCAGCGGCCCAGAACAAGATGGCTGCCTGCGTGGGCTGGGCGTGGCTGGAGCCAGCGGCCCAGAACAAGATGGCTGCCTGCGTGGGCTGGGCGTGGCTGGAGCCAGCGGCCCAGAACAAGATGGCTGCCTGCGTGGGCTGGGCGTGGCTGGAGCCAGCGGCCCAGAACAAGATGGCTGCCTGCGTGGGCTGGGCGTGGCTGGAGCCAGCGGCCCAGAACAAGATGGCTGCCTGCGTGGGCTGGGCGTGGCTGGAGCCAGCGGCCCAGAACAAGATGGCTGCCTGCGTGGGCTGGGCGTGGCTGGAGCCAGCGGCCCAGAACAAGATGGCTGCCTGCGTGGGCTGGGCGTGGCTGGAGCCAGCAGACCAGAGCAAGGTGGCTGCCTGTGGGGGCTAGGCCTGGGGAAAGCGTGCTTGGGAGAGCAGCAGGAGCCCTTGGGATGGGACGTCTCCCTCAGGTTCCTCTCGCGTTGCCGCTCCTTTCGGCTTCGCTGCGGCAACCCGAGGGAGGGGAGGTTTCCTTCCTTGTCTCTGGGCAATGAAAAGGCAGGGGCTCAGCAGGGTGAGCCCCTGGTGGGCCGCTGCTGCTAAACGTACCTGGGCCTCCGAGGTACGGGGACTGCAGCTCCCATTGGCCGCGTGACAGCGTTTCTGGGTAACGGGAGCTGCGATCCCCCCGTCCCTGCGGAGGTGCAGGCAAATACGGCTGTTTGGGGACCCGCCAGGATGGACCAAAGCTGTTTGCCCAATCTGCTCTTGCAGCCGGACGAGGAAGCGCCGTCCAATGGTCAGAGCACGGCACAGGGAGTCTGGCTGGCCCGGGGTTGGGGCCTGCCCTGCCATGGACTCTCTGGGTGATCGCAGGCAAATCGCTTCCCGAGCTGTGTCAGGCCATCCCGGGTGTGCGGGTTCCTAGCGCCAGTGGGGGCGGGTGGAGAGGGGCAGGGTGGCATGGTTGGCTTCCATCCTCTGAGCCAAGAGCTTTCCAATGGCCGGGCTTCCCGCCCCTGCCCCCTTTGGCCAGGCTGGGGTCATGCAGAGCGGGGCTCCATGCATTTCCCCTCCCCCAGCCAATCGCATGGCCAGCAGCCAACACCCCAGCCGTGCAATTAGCACAATCAGGTGGGAGGGGGAATCTGCCCAGCGCGAAACAGCTGGGAATCCTTCCTCCGGCTGCAGCCCCAGGGCTGCCCGGTCAGACCCGGGGCTGGGGTTTGCGTGGGACGTCCCCCTGCTGTTTTCCTCTCTTGGGGGAGGCCTGGAACGGCTGTGAGCAGCTGCTCCCGGCTGATAACAAGCCGAGCACCGTGTGCTCCCCGCACGGCAGCTGCACCGCTCCTGCGGGCTGATTGCCACCAGCACCAGGGAGTGGCCTGCAGCACCATCGGAGAAAACGAGGCCCCTTTAGCTCAGGCAGGGGAGGCGCCTGCCTATAGATCCAGAGGCCCTGAGGTCAATTCCGGCTGGTATCAACTCCCTCAGGGCAGGGCCACCCTTACAATGTATGGAACCCCCCATCCTGCCCCCTGCCTTCTGCTGCAGCTCGGAGCTTCCCCTGTGCCCCTCCATCCCCACGTGGCTCTGGCTCGGGCTTGGGGCTTTCTGGAGGGTCGGCACGGAGTTGAGCCTACCCCTACCCCAGTGTGGCAGGAGGGAGCCCTCAGCTCAGCGCTGGCTGACCAACCCGTGGGTGGGGAGAGGGCAGCCCTGCTGCCGGCCAAGGGAGCAGCGCCGGGGTAGGGACTAGGGTTGCCAGATGGTTGAAACAAAAATACCGAACCCCCCCTTCCCCCCAAAAAAAAACACTGGGAAAAATTCTGTTGGGGAAAGGGGGCGGGGGGACCAAAGTTGTTGAGCAAAAAAAAAAAAAATAAAACCAGCATGTCCCTTTAAGAGTGAGTGCAGGGATAGGAACAGGGGAGAAGTTGAGCACTAAGACCCCAGGGGAAGCCTAGGTCTTTTGGCTGTAGCCATTTTGTGCCAGCAGCTTTGGGGAAGCAGGTAAGCATGGGGGCTAGGGTTGGGGGGCTCAGGGGCCAGGTGCTGAGTGTTTGTAGGGTTGCCAGCTGCCCAGCATTTTCACCTCCTGGCTGGGGAAAAATTCAGAAAATACCGGCCATGTCCGGTGTCCAGAATTCTTTACATTTTTTTACTGGACAGGAGGTGAAAATACCGGACTGTCTGGGTGATACCGGACACCTGGCAGCCCTAGCAGGGGCTGGGCCAGACAGGGGCCTGTGGATGCGGTCAGCGCTATCCGGAGGTGCACCCGCACATGCACCTGGAGAGGGGCACCCCACGCTTTTCAGGCGGCCTACGCAGCTGCATGTGCTGCATACGCCTACGGATGGCCCTGTCCCAGGTGCAGCCTTCTTTGCACATGCAGTATCCAGAGTAGGACAAGCAGGCCTTCCCCACATCCTGCCTCCCCCTCCCCAAACACCTCTCCCTCCCCGCCCCCC